AGCCTGGCTATATAACTAAGAGACTGGCTATAGTTATAACTAGTTGAAAATTTTTGATTGTGTGCCGCACCTTTAATTATGAGGTGAAGAAGTAATAAAGGTGCAAAGGCTTAAGGGATAATTTAAACATAATTACATAAATAGTTATATAGTTAGCCAGGTTGACAAATGATTATAGATTTATATACTGAATACCATATATATATATATATATACTGTATATATATATATATATATATATATATATATATATATATATATATGTATGTATATTTTAATTCGGCAACTGTGTGGCAAATTAGGTTTAATGTTGATAAATGTAAGGTTATGTACTTGGGGGCTAAGAATATGCATGCATCATACATACTAGGGGGGGTACAACTGGGGGAGTCAATGGTGGAGAAGGATCTGGGAGTTCTGGTAGATCACAAGCTTAATAATGGCATGCAATGCCAAGCTACGGTTTCTAAAGTGAGCAAAATCCTCTCTTGTATTAAAAGAGGTATAGACTCCAGAGAGAGAGATATCATATTACCCCTGTACAAATCATTAGTAAGACCTCATCTGGAATATGCAGTTCAGTTTTGGGCACCAATTCACAAAAAGAACATTGGGGAACTGGAGAAAGTACAGAGAAGGGCAACCAAACTGTTAAGAGGCATGGAGCAGCTCAGCTATGAGGAAAGATTTGAGGAACTGAATTTATTCTCTCTTGAGAAGAGGAGATTAAGGAGGGATATGAGCAACATGTATAAATACATCAGTGGTTCATATAGTGAACTCTGTGTAGAGCTATTCACTCTGAGGTCATCACAGAGGACAAGGGGGCACTCTTTACGTCTGCAGGAAAATAAATTTAACCTTCAAACGCGGAAAGGTTTCTTCCAAGTGAGAGCTGTGAAAATGTGGAATAGATTCCCTCAAGAGTTGGTTCTGGCCAGTTCAGTGGATTGCTTTAACCACAAGCCTACCGAGAGCTTATACCCCCTTCCTGCCCAGGCCAATTTCCAACTTTCAGCGCTGTCTCACTTTGAATGACAATTGCGCGGTCTTGCAACACTGTACCCGTATGACATTTTTATAATTTTTTTGTGACAGATAGAGTTTTATTTTGGTGGTATTTATTCAACTCTGGGTTTTTTATTTTTTCTTAAACAAACCAAAAACTAGAGATGAGCGAATCGAACATGACGAAGTGGAATTCGTTCCGAAGATTTGGAAAAATTCTATTCGCGACGAATCCGAAGATTAGCAAACTTCGGATGCACGAATCGAATTTTCCCAAAAATGGCGGCGACATGTGTGGCGACGGAGAAAATGGACAGAGATGATGGGACGGGGATCTCTGGGAAGGCGCACAGACAAGGCGCGCTGACCCATAATGCATTCATGACATGTGATCGCATTAGCCAATCAGCAGCCAGCCAGCACTGTGTAATGGTGGAGCTATAAATCGTGGCCATCTTAGAATTCTCCATTAGCCTCCGGTCATTCAAGAGAGACAGACCTGTGTGTATTAAGGGACAGAGTTAGGGCCACAGAGACTTTAGGGCTACAGAATCGTTACTCAGGGACACAGAATCGTTACTCAGGGACACAGAATCGTTACTTAGGGCCACAGCTATCAAAGAATCGAAAATTTAAAGTGACATACACCCTTTTTTTTTTTGGTGGCTGTCGTGCACAGTTGGTGCTGCAGTTTGCCGATTGTGCAAAATAAACTGACTTTCTGCTTCACAACCACTATTGTACGTTCAAAGAGTTAAATCCATTTTACACGCCGGCTGGTGGTAATATTTTTTGGGTGATTAGTGCATTCCAGTGACACAAACGTACAGTTTCCAGCCAACGGCAAGCTGCAATTGACCGATTGTGTACAATAAACTGACTTTCTGCTTCACAACCACTATTGTACGTTCAAAGAGTTAGATCCATTTACACGCCGGGTGGCGGTAATATTTTTTGGGTGATTAGTGCATTCCAGTGACATAAACGTACAGTTTCCAGCCAACGGCAAGCTGCAATTGACCGATTGTGCTAAATAAACTGACTTTCTGCTTCACAAGCACTATTGTACGTTCAAAGAGTTAAATCCATTTACACGCCGGCTGGCGGTAATATTTTTTGGGTGATTAGTGCATTCCAGTGACATAAATGTACAGTTTCCAGCCAACGGCAAGCTGCAATTGACCGATTGTGTATAATAAACTGACTTTCTGCTTCACAACCACTATTGTACGTTCAAAGAGTTAGATCCATTTACACGCCGGGTGGCGGTAATATTTTTTGGGTGATTAGTGCATTCCAGTGACATAAACGTACAGTTTCCAGCCAACGGCAAGCTGCAATTGACCGATTGTGCTAAATAAACTGACTTTCTGCTTCACAACCACTATTGTACGTTCAAAGAGTTAAATCCATATACACGCGCCGGTGGCGGTAATATTTTTTGGGTGATTAGTGCATTCCAGTGACATAAACGTACAGTTTCCAGCCAACGGCAAGCTGCAATTGACCGATTGTGCTAAATAAACTGACTTTCTGCTTCACAACCACTATTGTACGTTCAAAGAGTTAAATCCATTTACACGCCGGCTGGCGGTAATATTTTTTGGGTGATTAGTGCATTCCAGTGACATAAACGTACAGTTTCCAGCCAACGGCAAGCTGCAATTGACCGATTGTGCTAAATAAACTGACTTTCTGCTTCACAACCACTATTGTACGTTCAAAGAGTTAAATCCATTTACACGCCGGCTGGCGGTAATATTTTTTGGGTGATTAGTGCATTCCAGTGACATAAACGTACAGTTTACAGCCAACGGCAAGCTGCAATTGACCGATTGTGTACAATAAACTGACTTTCTGCTTCACAACCACTATTGTACGTTCAAAGAGTTAAATCCGGTTTTATTTTTGGGGTGCTTATTGAATTAAAGAGTATGTCAGACAACACGCAGAGGAGTGGCAGAGGAGGCAATGTTTCAGGAGCGAGCAGACGTGGCAGCAGAGGAAGGGGTCGAGGCAGCACTAGTCGCAGCCAGAGGCCAGTGCTCCCGGTGTCATCCAGCGGTCGTGTCTCCACCGACAACCCTGCCGTCATCGATTGGTTGACTCGGTCGTCTTCCTCTTCCCAGGTCACCTCTGACACCTACAGCCAACGGTCGGTGGGTACGTCAGACACAACCGTTAGTTGGCATGGCCCGGGAGCAAGCCCACTGAAATCACTGTATGGCCTTCAATTTAAGCTGCTTACGCTTCGCCACTCTGCCATGGGCCCCGTACCGCCTCCTCTTGCTGCTGCCAGGTCCAGAGTGTGTCATGGGTCCCTGTACGGCCTCCCATTGCTGCTGACTTCATCGCCAGACTCTGCCATGTGCCACTTTCAGGTCTCCTTACACTGTTGGTGGGTTCCATTTTGTGATAGGGTGCTGTATGGCCTTCCATTGCTGCTGCCTCCACCGCCACCCTGCGCCATGTGCCTCTGTCGTCTGCTCACGCTGCTGACGGCTTCCGCTTTTTAACCGAGGCCTGTGTTTGGCTTCCGAATACTGCCGCATCCACCGCCACCCTGCGCCATGTGTCTCTGTCGTCTGCTCACGCTGCTGACGGCTTCCGCTTTTTAACCTAGGCCTGTGTATGGCTTCAGAATAATGCTGCCTACACCGCCACCCTGCACCATGTGCCTCTGTTGTCTGCTCACGCTGCTGCCAGGTCCATACTGATTCATGGCCCCCTGTACCGGCTCCTCATGAACGTGGTTCAGCGGGTTTGCATCACTTAACGGCAAATCGTTGACAAACGCTGGGACGTTCAGTGTTGTGCGCATTAAGCCAGACACCAAAGGGCAGCACAGACCTGTTATTACTCGCTCAAGCATGGCTGAACAAAACCAGTCTCTACCACAAATTGGACCCAGACCTGCCCAGGGTCTCGTAAGTAGATTGCACGGAGGAGTAGAGTTCGTTATTGGAATTAACTGTGAGGGACTTTTAAACCTAGGCCTGTGTCTGGCCTTCAATTGAAGCTGCTTCTGCTCCGCCACTCTGCCATTGGACTCTTGATAGTTGTCTCCCCACGCTGCTGCTGGGGGGACTTTTTAACATAGGCCTCTGTATGGCCTTCAATTTTAGCTGCTTACGCTCTGCCACTCTGCCATGGGCCCCTGTACCGTCTCCTCATGCTGCTGCCAGGCCCGTAATCTGCCATGGGCCCCCGTACCGACTCCTCATGCTGCTGCCAGGCCCGTAATCTGTCATGGGCCCCTGTACCGCCTCCTCATGCTGCTGCCAGGTCCAGAGTGTGTCATGGGTCCCTGTACGGCCTCCCATTGCTGCTGTCTCCATCGCCACACTCTGCCATGTGCCACTTTCAGGTCTCCTCACACTGCTGGTGGGTTCCATTTTGTCATAGGGTGCTGTATGGCCTCCCATTGCTGCTGCCTCCACCGCCACACTGTGGCTCCACACTCTGGTTTTGGCCCCGTGACTGCCCAAATGAGTGAAGTGTGCGGTGATTCTAAGATCGACGGCACTCATCTGCATGTCATACTGACTGACAGTATTATTTCTCTTCCCCAGCAGACTCCAAGGGCATTTAAATTAAAGGTACAGTGTTCTGCACTAAATATAAAGGCTCTCTGAAGCCTAGAAACACCCTTTTTATAAGTTAAATTCGCAGCGAATATATTCGGCTCGAAGCGAATTTATTCGACGAATTCGGCGAATCAGCCGAACCGAATTTTTGAATAATTCGCTCATCTCTACCAAAAACCACTGAAAATTTTGAAAAAAAAAAATTTTTTTTCTTACTTTTTGTTATAAAATTTTGTAAATAAATGATTTTTCTCCTTCACTGATGTGCGCTAATGAGGCTGCAGTGATGGACACTGATAGGCTGCACTGATGGACACTGATAGGTGGCACTGATGGGCACTGATGAGGAGGCACTAGTAGGTAGCACTGATGGGCATTGACAGGCATCACTGATGTGCACTGAAAGGCAGCACTGATACATGGCACTGATATATGGCACTGATAGGCGGCACTGTTAGGCGGCACTGTTAGGCGGCATTGACTGGCACTGTTAGGCGGCACTGACTGGCACTGATTTGTGGCACTGACTGGCACTGATATATGCCACTGATTGGCAGCACTGATAGGCGGCACTGATTGGCATTGATAGGTGGCATTGATGGGTGACACTGAAAGGCAGCTCAGATGGGCACTGATATGTGGCATTGATGTGCACTGGTAGGCACTGATATGTGGCATTGATGTGGCACTGATGGGCACTGGCACGAGGCACTGATGAGCACTGACACAAGGCACTGATGGACACTGACAGGTGGCACTGCTGGGGCTACACTGATCATCAGTGCCCTGATGATCAGTGTACATGTCCCCTCTGCGGAAAGCCGATTACTGGCTCTCCTCTCGAGCTGTCATCGTGACAGCTCGAGAGGAGAGAAATGCCGAAAACCGGCATTTCCCTGTTTACATGTGATCAGCTGTGATTGGACACAACTGATCACATGATCCAGCCGACATCTTCGGCTCTTTCCGTGATCGGTGATCGGCTGTGTCCGAGGGGCACAGCGCACTGCTGATCGCCGCGCTGCGCGCTCTCTGAGCCACGTATGCGCGGTGAAAATGGGAGGACGTCATATGACATCCTCCCAGAATGAGAGAACCCCCTTGCGTCCGTCATATTACTATATGGCGGGCGGGAGGTGGTTAAAAAAGGCCTGGATTCTTTCCTAGATACACAGAATATAACTGGATATTAACCTTTATAGGTAAAGTTGATCCAGGGAATATCCAATTGCTTCTCGGGGAACAGGAAGGAATTTTTTTACCTGCAGGAGCAAATTGGATCATGCTTTACTGGGTTTTGTTGCCTTCCACTGGATCAACTGTGGGTATAGGATTATAACTTTTTTTTTTTGTTAAATGGTTGAACTGGATGGACTTTTTTCAGCCAGACTAACTGTGTACCTATATATATATATATATATATATATATATATATATATATATCATGCCACAAAATGTTTCAAGAATTTCAAGAACACAAAATCGGCATAGAGGGGTTGCTTGAAAAACAGCATTTGTTGCCAGTCTACAAAACTGTCTACACAATCATACAAAGCCCCTTTCTTCTGTTGAATCATTTCATTTTTAAATGAACTGAATCATTTTGTATCAGAAATTCCCCAGGGTGTGTCTGTTGGTGAATTAAATGTCTCCAATTTCAGTCTTTAAAAAAGTACAAGATCAAATATAATTTTTGGCATTTTGCTGTTTAAAATTGTATAATACATTTCATCACCGGGTAAAGAACCAAGAAGGGTGGCAAGCTTCAATGGATATTTTACACATATATTTTTCCAAGGCAGATGTGGTATCCAGAGGCTAAGTCTCTCATTAATGATGATTGTTACCAGGACAAAAATCTCTATAAAACTATAATAAGTTACACTTTTTTGCTACATCATTTTATTTTTAACGAACTGACTCATTTCACATCAGGAATTTTCCAAGCTGTGCCTATGTTGATACATGTAATCTCTTTTCATTCTTTACAAAAAATGTTTTTACAACATTATTATTATTACAACATATACGTACGAAATGTAGCTTTCAATATATATATTTATTTAATTTAATTGCAAGAAACATAAAGTCTAAGTCCACCCCAAAAATAAACAAATGCTAAGGTTATTTTAGTTTCTGCTCTGTAAGGAGAGCAAGGCATATTTGGGGAACAAAAATATTTAGAGAAGACAACAGGTTCATAAAACACACAGAGGAACATGGAGAAACACTGTAAACTCACAAATTCCACGTATTTTAGGTAAAGATATGCTGTTGAGGAATGAGCATTGAATTCAGCTCCAACAAGGTCCATATTATCGTTAGTGGCAATTTCCAGGTAATGACAAAATAGGTTTCATTAAAGAATACAGGTAGAGCTAACACACCTACAAATTGCTCAATTACCCTGTACTGAGACAATAATACCATTATGAGAATTAGAAATTCCTTGTATCAGTCCTGTGTGAAACACTGAAAGCCCAATCGAACCTTCAGATTAAGTCAGCCAACTACATTCCAAGTGCATCAAAACAAAAGGTGTTCATTGTCTTACCGTTTGTTTTTTCTCTAAAGCAGACCTAGCCTGTATCTGTTGTAAAGCCTGCATTTGCCAGCATGTTGCAGAGTGGGACACTTGCTCTCTATGCAGAGACCCAACGCAACTCCTTATGATTGAGAACTAGAGCTCTCAAATCAGTAAGAAGCATGAGGTTTGCCGTGTGCAAAGCTATAGGTCTGATTTTGAATCTGTAGGGGGCCTGTAGGACCTCTGCTTCCACACACAGAGCAAGGTCCCCATTATGCAGCTGCTGGCATGGGAAAGGCTTTTTTACTCAGTCTGTAGCTGCTTTAGGAAGAAAACAAACTTTAAGATATTGAACATCTTTTGTTTTGATCCACTTGGAATGTGTTTATTATAGCAGGTTTTAACTGAAGGATCAATTTGGCACCTATATTTCCACCAATGTATGGCTTTTGTCGTTGACAACACCAGCCTGTAAATTGACTCCTTCCAGCTATAGCAGCTGGGATGCTGTTGCTATTTCTTCAGCTGACTTTCAACTTTCTAGTAGAAGTGATCTGGCCCATTCACTTTCACACATAGTAAAAACTTTCAACTACCCCAATTTTATTCTATTGGTTCTCTGCTCTCAGAAACTATATACTACTTTGGGGGTTTTAATTAATCTCCAGGCCTAAAGTGTGTATTTTAACGTGTACAAAAAGATTAAAAAAGGGCACTGGCAGCAAAAGTTTTAATACCTTTCACTGCCAGCTGTTTTTGCATTTTTTGCACACATGATTAAAAAATGATTTTAGGCCAGATTATTGCATAAACCCACAAAAAATTATATATTTTCTGAAAGCAGACACCCTAGAGAATGTAACAGTGCTAGTTCAAATCTATTAAGCCACACAATATTACTGCAAGTCTAGGAAACACAAAATTTCAGTAAAAAAACACTAAAGTTAACTTTAGGGCGCACAAACGCAATAAATTATCAACTTTTTTAGTAAAATATAAACTATGAGGTGGCACCAAGTAAATAAATACCCAACATGTCAAGCTAATATTTTGTGCTTGCCTGTGAAATGGCGACAAACTAATGTATATTTCCTGTAGGTGACACTTTAAAAGCCCCCTGTAGGTCCTCAGTTTAGCGTTACAGAGGAGATCTGGTGCTAGAAATATTGCCCTCACTCCAGTGTGCATGGTGATATGTAACACTATGTATTTCAATTGACTTTTTCATGCGTAGGTGCCGCCGATGGGTACGCTTACATTCGTATGCGTGTATATGTGGGGGCCTCAAAAATTTTGGGGGGAGAGGGGTGTATATGCTTTGAGGAACTTTAATTTTTTAAATTTAAAATCATTTTTTTTTCTTACATTTTTTTTTTTTCATCACATAGGTTCATTTTAATGAGATATCCAGGGTCTTTTAGACCCTGGATGTCTTCCCTGTTCTCAATTCAATGTAATGCAATGCAGATGGCATTGCAATGCATTCTTTCCCAGCCATACTGGCCAGGAAAACTGACAGGGGACCTGGATTTGATGTTTTACACATTGCTTCTGGGTCAGCAACAAAAAGGGGAGGAGAGAAGATGTATGTGTGCTCTGCTCCCTACACTCTACCTGGCGGCACTCACTATGCTGGTCCCGGGCACCCAGATGGGCAAGGGGGGCATGAAAGCAATCTGGTGCCACTGGAGGCGCAGAACTGCTTTCATCTGACAGCCAGAAGTCAGCTTGTCAGATTTACATTCAGGGGGAGATTTACTAAAGCTGGTTCATTTAGAATATCGTGCACCTGTGCATGGTATCCAATCAAGGTTCTAACCTCAGCATGTTCAATTAAGCTTAAACAATAAAACCTATAAGCTGATTGGTTTTCATACAGAAGTGCACAAGATTCTCAGCGAACCAGCTTTAGTAAATAAACCTCACAATGCGGGAGATTGTGTAAAACCCCCTGCTGTTAGGTTCCTATGACATATGCACCGGGCAGTGAGAGGGTTATACCAGTATTAAAGCATATATATTTTTTAATGCTTAACAAAAGGAACAGCGCTGTGAGAGTGGCTAGTTGAACCTCGCTGGGATGTGTACCTTTATTGTAATACCAGTTGGTATGAATCACAAGGAATGCAAGGAATGCCTGGGCCAGGATGGACAGTCCGTCCACTCCGAAATGGATGGTATGGAACAAGGGGTTCTCCTGTCACTGGTGATGGACCACGTGACCATGGTGTCCCGGAATGATGTCACTGAGGTCATGTGGTCCATCACTAGTGACAGGAGAACCTCTTGTCTCATACTATCCATATCGTAGTGGACGGGCCGTCCATCCTGGCCCAGGCATTCCTTGCATTCCTTGTGATTCATACCAACTGGTATTACAATAAAGGTACACCTCCCAGCGAGGTTCAACTAGCCACTCTCACAGCGCTGTTCCTTTTGTTAAGCTATTGGTTTCACTATATGTGCTAACACAGCAGCAGTGGGGTGTTCAGGCATATGTACAATTTTTCCTTATATGGATGGTCCTTTACTGCTATTTGATCCATTGTCTTTTTATATATTTTTTATTGCAAACGCTAAAGAGAAATTTAAAAATTGTGCATGCATCCATACTTGCTAATTGGTGTTACCGTTTTGCACTATCCATACTGCATTATTATCCACATGCCATCTTGCCTAGTCTCTTCCTCTGTATTGGAGGGAGGTGATGAGGGCAGTGCCACCATATGATGGAAGTGGTATAATCATCACAGGAAACTCTCTGTACAAACTATTATTCTTAGCCATGAATTGGGCATGTAATAGGGCACCTGTAACCCCATCCTCCCTTTCTTTTGCTCTATTATTATGGACTTATTACTTGTTTTAAAAAATGCAGCTGTGAGCAAATGAGAAGACAGAACACAGTACAAGACTGGGAAGGACCACACTGTTTACTTCAGGGATGGTTTATGCCACTTACGTCAATATAAGAACAGAATGACACACTGAGAGGGAAAGCCTATGATCTCTGAGCTAAGCAGCCAGCAGAGCTGAAACCAAGAGGTCAGAAAATCACAAGTCTTACACTGTGCCTGCACAATACTTGGCACAACTGGTAAAGTCAGAAGTGCAAGTGTAACTTGTATTTTCAGTGTTTTTAGAAGTTACATTGTGCATCCTCTTTGTGTTTATTCCACTACACATTGAGGACAGAAAACAAGTACATAACATGCATCATCATCCTTGCAGCAATGGCAGAACTGTGAAAGGTTACTTTCTTTCCATCCTTCTCACTAAAAATGGTCAGCATGTGATGTGTCATATTCTGTGAATGAGCTCTTCTGTTTAAGTCAGAAGCAGTCAGTGCACATTGGCCTGAGGCATCCCACCTTTCATCTTTATAATGAGGTAAAGGAACCTGGGGCTGTTTAAGTTTAAGGCTATTTTTAGCAAGC